CCGGCCCAACCCCCCCCAGCCTCTGGCCAAGCTGCGGCCGCCTGTGCTCCCGGGTGCTGCACCAAATGCTGACGAACCAGCACGTCACTGAGGAAGAGGCCTTGCTGATGGGGTGTGTAACACCCAGCACGGCTACAGCCACCCCTCTGCTCCCCCGGCGGGTCCCTAACACGGTGTGTGCTGCTCTGGCCCCCCAGCCCACACCCCATCCTCCCCAGCCACCCCGCTTCATGCCCTGCGTTGCTGCTCTCCCCACCCTGCTCAGCCGTTGCAAGACACATCCTCCTATTAACATCACACTCCTGCAAGCATCTTGGTCGCTTCCACCTGCATCTCCTCCACACTGAGGAGGGGCTGGGTGCTGCGAGCATGCTGCTACCAACAGACACCACCGAGAAGCTGGCAGTCAGCTGCACTGCAGAGGAGCAGGGCTGTGCATTTGTGTCCACAGCTTGCCCTAAATACAGCTAGTTTCATGTCATCAACCAGCAGCAGGTGACCAACACCAATGGCAGGGCTGACCCTCAGTTTTTCAGGCTCCTCCAGCAACAGGAGCAATGCAATGCCTCTGCAGGAGGGCCTGGCCTCTCCACAGCTCTGTTTCGGCACTGTTTCCAGGGTGTCCCCACCATCCAGCCCTCATCCTCGGCTGCGGAGGGCTGCGCGGATGCCGCCCGTGCCGGGAGTGAAGTGCCAGGAGCCAGCGTTACCCTGCCGCCTTGCCAGCTGGCTCTGCAGAGCGAGATCCTCATCCAGCCTCTCTGCCACCCACCTCCACTGGGCTCTTCTCCTTCACCTCCCATTTTCCTTCGCTCCTCCCGTTCTTCACTGCTTTTCCTTTCGCCCCTGCTTTCTCCTCCCCCTCTATCACACATCCTACTCCACATTTGCTCTCTCCCTCCTTCTCACCGTTTGCATCTCCTCCTCCCAGCTCCCTCCATAATGCATTTCCACATGATACCTCCCCTTGCATTTAATTTCTATTTTCCTTCTACCACTCTTCCTGCCTCCTTTGGACAGGTTTGGACCTCACTTCCCCATCAAGTCTCCTCACTGCACACACCGACTCCAAAGAGAGAGACCCTGGCACCAACAAACTCCCCAAGACAGCCAGATGCCTCTTCCCCTCAACCTCAGGGCTCTTCCCTCTTTCTTAACGCAAGCATCCTCATGTTGAACAGCCACCCACCTCTTGTCCCCCTTTTGCTTATCTGAAGGGGGAAGCACCTTGGGTTTGGTGGTGGTTGGCCACCCCAGGACACCTGTGCCAGGGTTGGCAAACAACCTCTACAGCTACAACAGGCTGGATTCACACCTACCCCCGCAGAGTCCCAGGGCTGCTACACACAGATGGGACCCAGGCTCTAAGCTGGGAGCCCACAGACTGCAAGGGTGAGGGATGCCAGTGAGATATGGAGAAGAGGAGAGCTGGGGTAACCCAGCCCTTCCTGCCAGGACATGTCCACCTGAGAGAGTTCCGCTCCACTCCCTTCCACCCCAGACAGAGGTGGCAATTTGACCTTGAAAGCCCTGTATGACTCAGGGCCCTGCTTGTCTGGAAGATCCTTCTCATGACTCAAACGTGACAGGCATGGCTCACAAGCAGACCTTCTCTTGAGAGCACCTATAGATTAAATGCTCTCCTTGATGGTCCCTCAGCTCCCAGACTCGTCCCACCAATGAGTCAGAGAAGGTCCTGGGTACACGGACGCCCAGGGCTCCCCAAGAGGGTGTAGCAGGTTCATGGGGGAGGCCGCAGAAGTCTCTGACATGCAGAGAACTGGGCTGCTCCAGCTTTAATGACTGGTGGAAACAAGCAGAGCTACCATAGGATGGGGTCTGCTTCATCATCTCATTTTACAGTCTGTCAGAGACCGTGCAGGCAAGAGGAGATATGCCCTGCTTCTCCCCTTGGTGGGACGATCATCAGTCAAATCAGAAGAGCCAAGAGGGTGGGGGGAGAGACAAGAGGGAAGGAGGGAGGCAGAACAAGTGCAGAGAGATAAAGAGAAGGAGATGGAAGCAAATATCAGAGTTTGAGCAGGAACTACCTTTCTTGGATACTTTCCTCCCCTCCTTAACTGAGCTGTGTTTTTTAGTGGCTTTATGGGTGCTGGCAGCTTGCGGCACACAGGTGAGGTGCACGGGGAGTCCAGCGGCTGACATCAGAATAGCCGTCATGCCTACAGCGGGTACGAGATCAACATGCAGGAAGGAAACAACGGGGAAACACATTCATTAAAAAAAAACTTTAACCTTTCAAAGAAAATTAAAAGAGATAAAACAAAACCCAAGCCCTTGATTCAGAGGACGTAAAACATCTGAGAGGCAACGAGGTTGGAGTCAGCACAAGGACAGGATCCAGAGGCTTTCAGAGGGAGGAGCCCAGGCAGCAAATTACAGCAGGGAAATAGGGGCACAAGTCTCACCCGTGACCCTCTGAGCTGGTGTGTGAACAGAACCTTCCTCTTCACCTTGGCTTTAGGGCTCCTTGGTCTGCTGTGGTGCAAAGTCCTCCCGCTCACAGAGCCCTGGAAGCAGCCCTGACCCTGGGGGCCTGAAGGACGAGGGGCATCACCTGTAACCCCTAAAGGTCCTGCTCAGCTACTCCCCCCTAAAGCTACGTGTTTCAAAGGCACCGCACCAAACCGATCCCCAGAGCGCAGCTTTACTGCCTTCAGACACCGTGGCAGTGCTGGGCTGCCCGAGGGCTGGGGCTGCCCCACTCAGTCCCCTGCCAGACGAGCCCTGTATGACCCACGCTGGCAGCTCTCCGTTCACCCCACGCCATCCCCTCCTTGGCACCCCAGTTTTTCCTAGCACCCCCAGCTGCAATGCAATTCTCACCCTCCCCCATCCCAGCCAGCTGTATTCATGGGATGCAGTTTGTTAAAGCTAATGAATCATTAAAAAGGACAGCCATTCCCTGAAGGTAAAAATGGCACACAGAGCTACAGGACTGATCATGCTGATCTAATATGATGTTTGCCTGTGAAATAGAGGCCGGTTACAAGTTATAACATTTCTAAGGTAGCATATTGCTGTTCAACTTTACATTCAAGAAAACACCTGCCTTTGCTTTCCCAGGAAGTGACTTCCCACCTGCAACAGACGTCGGTAGAACTAAAAAGAAATGCTTATGGTTGCAAACCAACAGCAGACAACCTAAAAGCCAGCGTTTCCCCAAAAGTTACCTCTGACAGTAGAGCATGCAAAACCACATCCTAACGCTATGAAAATTCTTGCCAGCATCCTGTAATTCACAGCCAAAGCTGAGATTTCTAAGGATTTTCTTTTTTTCAAGCTTCTATTCAGCCAGGTTGGGAAAGGAAGATATAAGAACACATTTGTTCAGGACAAAAATGAGGTACTTGCCCACACATGATGAAAATTGAGTTATGACAGGAAGCATCAGCCAGCTTTGTGTGCAAGTGGTAAGACTATTTTCTGCCTCAAACACGCAAGTAGTCAAGAACCCGTGCCTTTGTGACTAGAAATCCCCTGCGCGCAGCCTGTGTCAATGCCCCACGAGCAGAACTACGCCCACGCAGTGCCGACTGCATTTTGCACCTCCTTCACGTAAGGTCCAAGTACATTAAATATTCCAGAACCTTGACACACAAAGTTGGACGCTTTTACTAAAGCTTTCTCATCTAAGGACCAAAACAGACAGAAGGGGTTTCACAAGACGGTGAGGGGTGCACAGATGGATGAAGTCATTTCCCCAGGGTTCCCCAAGAACCTTTGCCAGTGCTGCTCTGGCCCGAAGACCGGGCTGCCCAATGCACGGTGAGACCACGTGCTTCCAGATGGGAATAGGTAACTGCAAACCAGGCAGCTGTGGATCACCCTCATTAGGTACCATCATTGTTGATCTAATCTGAGGTGTAGCCCCCCACTTCCCAGGAGCTGGGGGGCCAGAGGAAGATCTTCAAAGTATACAAGCACTGAGTTAGTCCCCTCACCCCACTGAGGGCACCGGGCTGTTCCCAGCAGGTACAGCCGAGGAGAGCCCCCGATGTCGGGACAAGCCAGCAGGCCTCTCACAACACCGGATCCAGAAATTTCACAATTAGAATTACTTCCTTTAAGTCTTGAACTAAAGGCCACAAGACTATTGTGTGCTCTCAACCCCAGTCTAAGCCAGCAGTCCTTCACTACTGCCAGGGAGCCTCAAGGAAGAGCTTAAATGTTCCCATAACAAGAGCTACTTGCTTTTGAATGAGTGAGTACAACTGAACACCCAATGCCCAGCAACAGCATCAAAGCTGATGCCTGTATGCACACCAGGCAGGTGCTTTCCCCCTTTCAGCAGGTTAAAGGACAGTGGGAGGTATTTCCAGAGAAGCAGTACCAACTTGTGATTAAAGAACCCGGAGGAACAATGTTCTTGAGAAACAGGCAAGATGCTGGACCTTCCCATGGCTGGGTGAGATCATGGCAATCTGACCCCACTGAGGCTGCGAAATGCAATTCCCCAGAATTGGTGCAGAAAAGGAAACAGTAAAGTTTCCTTTTTTCCTTCTCCGAAAAAAATCTGCTTCTAAGTGGTGCAATCACACTGACTGCAGAGACTGACATTTGAAAAGCAAGTCCAAAGACTAACAGGGATTATCACCACCTACGCACAGCTGACTGATAGGCAAATGCAAAATTAATGCTTTCTTCTTAAGAGATCAATACCATCTTGCTAACATTAACATGCAGAGCCCATTTAAAAAAAACCCCAAGAACACGACAGAAGCAGAGGCTGAACAACTGACTTCAGACTCTTGATGTTGGAGGACAAAATGTTGCCTTCAAAAATCAGACCAAGTGAAGAGCACGAGCTACAGAACCTCAGCTGAGTTCAGTTACCCCCTAACACAGCCCCTCTCTATAATAACATGTCCAAAACTGCCTGCCAGCGTCATGAATCATCACAAGGAAAATAAACATCTATTCCAGGAACTTTCGCTTTCGTTATATGAGCTGCAAATGCATCTACAACTCCACGCAGACATACAGCACAGGGTAAACGTGGGCCCAGCAGAACTACCCCAACCAAATGTTCTCTCTATGGACAATCTTAACCTGACCAAGAAAAGGTAATTTTCCACTTTTACCTTCTGCTGCCTTTGAAGAGACACGCAGTGAATCATCTTCCGCAGATTCAAATCAAGAGAGCATTCAGAAAGGGGATGTTCTGGTGTTACACTGCTCTTCTGGCTCATCTCAAAACCCAGCAGCAATGCTTCCTTTAAATCTCTAATACAATACTGGAAATCTCAGCATGTAACAATCCTCCCACAAATTTGGTGACAAAAGTCCCCACTAAGAGATCTCCTGCGATCCAAGCCTAACGTGGGAGTGTGTGTTCATACAAAGCGCCACAACAATACACAGACGCACATCATATCTGCAGATCGATTCTCCAATTCTGACCTGTTGACACAGCAATTTCAAGTCAAACTCGTTGCGGAGTTAAGTCAGGAGCACATTTGGCCCTGGACCTGGATAAATTCCCACTCGGAGACACAAGGGCCAAGCTGCAACAATAAGCTTGCCCGGACCAAGGCTGTTTTGAACACCCATGAGTTCCTGCAAGAGTTCCTGCTGCTCATTAGCTGCCCCAGGAGCTTGAAAAATATTATTTAATATGTTCACGCTTTCCATTGGCCACTGGGTTTCTTCCCTGCAAGGGCTGCAGGAGGGAAGAGACAGAAAGCTTTGCAAAGCATCCTTTGGTATCTGATCCGATCCTGTGAACGCATGCAATAACCATATGCAGAGAACTGCCTATTTTCTCTTACTCAAAGCATCTATTTGGCCAGAAGTACGTTACTGAATCCTTGGGGTAAAATTATTTTCACTGAAGCTACGACAACATCCACCGGCTTTTCCTCAGCCTGTCATGTAAATAAGGGTCTTTTGTAATACCCTGCGCAGAAGCTGAGCATGGAAAAAACACCTTACGTAATGTAACGAGCATTGACCACACGCTTGCTCACGTACCCTTCAGTCACCGGCTCCGACTACTCATCTGTATTTGCACAGACCTCACGCTGGTATGTCTTTGGTTCCAGTCCTGGATTTAAGCAGGTAGAGGGGGAAAGGGCAACGCTTACCTTCAAATAATGTGAGAGCTCAGAAAAGCATTGCTAATTTGTACAATTACATGCACCAGCAAATTACGGTTAGTATGTTCCCAAATGCCCCAGCTCTAGGAATCATGCAAATGAGAAACACTCGGTTTCATTTAACAAAAAGCTTGTTTCCAGCCTTCATCTTAAAAACAGTTTTAGAAGGGCTTTCATATGACCACCTAGTCCACTCCCCAGCCCCAAGGCACACCAGCTAAAGTCCATTATTCCCAAGAGAAGTTAGTCCAGCTGATCCTTAAACACCAACACTGAGGCTCAACAGTTTGCTTAGACCTCTGTCCTGGAATTTCACCATACTAACCAAATACTCAGGGGAGGGGAAAAGCTTAGAAGACAAGTTTCCACATGCACCTTAAAGTATTAAAATAGCAGAATGCAAGGAAAAAGAAATATGGTTGGTTTCAGGGGGGTTTTTTTTGTACAAAACATGGTTTTAAAGTCAGCTTTGTGATTTCTGGGATCCCAAGTGGTGCTTTTAGAAGATGTGGGGTTGACAGCGTTACAAATTCCTCACTCAAGTCCCCAGGCACTCATCACACAAACAAAACCCAGCTTCTCATTCAGGCCCGCAGGATCCCCCATCTCCTGTTTATCCACCAGAGGTTCCCTCTGCATCCAAGAGATGCACCTGCAGCATTTCTCAACATCACCCACAAGATCCAGGGGGTTTATCTCTTCAAACGAGAGCCAAAGCTGCTGAGAGGCACCTCGGGATGGAGACCAAGGGTTGTGAGACTTCTGGACATGCTTCCCAGAATAAAACCGCCTCCAGTTCCCATCTGAAACTGGCCTCTCCCCCATCCATCACAGAGCCTTTGGGTCCCAAGCTTTTCCACCCCTGATGCTGAAGAAAGCAGTCGTGCAGCAGAGACCGGAGGAACAAAAGGGACCCAGCCTATGTGTTAGAGAATAATCTGAATAATAAGTAACTCAAACACCATCTGCAGGATTTTAAATATGAACAAAATACCACTTCCCAGAAGAGGTTCCAGAAACAGAGCGCAAAGCGTAGAGGGGAAGAAGGTATCCCTGAAGACCCAGCCAATTAACGTTTCGATAAAATTTGGCCTTTTTACCAGAACTCCACCGCTTGCTTTTTACCAGAAATATTCCCAGAGATTTATTTTCCTTTCGTTTGCTAATTAACTTGTCTAGATTTTTCCTCTGCTTCTATGTGATTTTAAGGACAGACTCAAATTCAGATTTTTCTCCTCCCTGCACCTCTGAGGTCTGTCACACTTTGCAGAAGGCAGCACGGCACCGATCAAAGCCGTGTCCTATGAAACCCTAGATCTGACGGAGACGCTGGCCCCAGGGAGCTGCTTCTGCAACTTAGCGTGCCTCTTGCTAGCTGCCTCGTGGAGAGGTAAAGACTATTAAAATGAATAATTATTCCCTCTTTTGCAACCCCAGCCTCCAACAACAGAGGTATCAATTACATGCTTAACCTTTCCATTTTATTTTATTAAATGGTGGTAAATGGCTTATTCTACTGAGCTCTCCTGCAGCCTTTTATATCTAAAGGTGGCACTACAAGGTATAAATGGATCATGAGTATTCACCTCTTTCAAATTAACAGTGGATGACTTGCACATGTAGTATGAGATCACAGTTAACATTAACACAGCCTGGAATTCACCAGGGCTCTTCAGTTCTTTGCTGTATTTACCTTTATGTGATTAAACACCTAATTACACAGTCAGTGCTAATAGCCAGGGGATGAAATTCAGAGCTTTTATAAGCAAGAAGAGTCATTCTGCTCAGGTCATCCACCTAGACGAGGTCTGAGCTTGACTTTACACCTCATTTCCACAAAGACTGATTTGCTAATGGAGAGACAGATGGCTGCATGCTGTCAGAGGACACTCAGTCTTTACACAGTGCTCATTTGGCTACAGAGACATGCAAGGCACAGTTTTCACGATGGTGATAACATTAGATGAGTGAAAACATCAATCCTGGGGTCATTTTTAGGCAGGGTAAAGCCCGATGCTTGGGAAGAGATCAGGCACCATCGCCTTTCCTGGAATTTTCTCTAAGGCTGAAAACATAATTGTCTCCACTTGCTCTAGAGCAAATTTCAGTGTTCAAGGAGCTAATAACTTCAACAAACCATGCATGGACAACAGCCAGAGGAAGGAGAGGGTTAATAGATATTCTGTAGTGTCTGAAATGGGTACAGAAAAACCCAGAAAATACCAAATGATACGATTTCAAGTGCACAGTTGGTGTCAGTACAAAGACGACATTTGCTCTCGGCAGAACACCCGTCTCCCCAGGCACCACCACACCAGCATCCCGCAGTTTGGCACCGGCTGAGTCAAAACAGAGCAAACGCGCCGATGGTTTTTGGCATGGAAACGCTCCCACTGAAAGCTGCAAGCGTGAGTTGTCATTTTCAAGGCAACGCCATTTCATGTTTAACAGGCAAATCTACTCTGAAAAGGAGCATTGAAAACTGGCACTTTCATCCCTCCCAGACACACTCCTCGGGTATATTTGGTATTGTATTCACAGGTTTGGATGATAACAAGCAAACCTGTATTCTGCTGCCACAGAAAACAATGTCTGATTCAACTTCTGTCCCCTCTTTTCCCCAAGACATGGCATCACAATCATTTTTTTTAAGCTAAAGACCACCTGAGGTTTTGTAATAAAACCACATTAAAAAAACCCCACATTAAAAACCACACACTATCTCACACCACTCTTCCCCTTTGACTTTAAGTAGCAAGTCACTCAGCTCGCACTGAGCTTGATCCACGCGTTCCCCCCCCCAGCTACTTGCTCATCCACACCTACGGGGAGAAGGTGAATACCCAACCCTCAAATAAACCCACTCATTTTGAGAGCCTCAGGACCAGCACTGATGAGAAAAACAGTTATTAAGGTTTGACCATCCCATTCTCCCCCAAATTTGCCCTCTTCGCCTTTCTGAAAAGTCATTAAGCCTAAACCCCTAAATGCCAGTGACATTTCAGGCTCTTCCTAAAAACTAACAAAGGAAAGTAAGTGCCATAGAACAGTAAACCGCTTGCTCACGTAACCTAGGGACAGAGTGGGTAAAGCAGAGCAGGATCCTTACCTGCCAGGGCCTGGTTCACCTTGCTGGGTTTGGGCATCTTGACTGTCAGGTTTGGGGCGCTGGAGAGAGAAAAGAAAAATGGACAAGTTCAACAGCACAAATCAATCATTAACAAACCAGAGATAATTCAGCAGTGTACAGCACCCTGAATATAAGAACAGGGATTAATTGCTCGGATGAGCCCCACCTGGCACCCCCACCCATGAACCCTTTTGCCCACTGGTCCAGCAGCTACATTTAAGGAGCCCAGTCCTTATCAGAGCTATCTTGCAGGTTTACTTATCTCCAAGGTGGACCTCAGATCTATTCTGTAGGTAGCTGTCTCCAGTCCCATCTCATCCTGGCTGGATACTGGGCCTCACTCATCCTGTTCTGTTGCTGGGGTCTGTTGGTGGACCCTGTTTTCAACTCCCTGCTCTGATCCTGTGGGACATCCCTGTTGTTGCTGCTCTACCACAGAGCTTCTTGTGAGCAGCTGACCTGCACTACAACAGACTGCTGCACCAGCAGGTCCATGGCATAAGCACGCAGCCAGGAACCGCTGGGATGCGGCAAAATTCATCTTAAACCTTCCAGGTGACATGATTTCCAGACAGAGCAACACTGCTCACCAAGGCCTGAACCCCCATGCTGTATGAGAAGTTGCAGCTGTACAGATCAAAGGAAGCAAGCGTTATCTCCCCCCACCGCTTTCCAGATGGGGAAACTGAGGCAGAGAAGGGCGAAGAAAAGCACTCGGACACACACAGCTGTGGCCCTGGGTTGAACAGAATCAAGCCTTGGCTCTCCCTGTGTAACCGTGGGATAGGGGCCGTGAAACAGAAACTATAGAATGATTAGTTTGGAATAATTGGTTTGTAACCAAGGTAATAGGTAAGGAAGCTAACTGACCATAGCGATGTACAATGCTGCTACGTTCCATGTACAGTCCCTACCCAATCAGACAATAGGCCCCGGGATATTAATCTTATGAAGTAAGTTGTTATGGACAGATGCATCCACAACAACGATACTGCGCATGCCCGTAAGAGGGTTATCCAGCAGACACGGGTATGTGACCACCGATGACCACCAGAGACCCCTTGAGGACCACTGACCCAAATCACTGCGCATATGTGACTGGGAGGAGAATATGGAAATGAATTCCAAGAAATTATTATCATAGGACTGCCTTTTCTGAGAAAAACGATGAATATGTATATTTCGATTCTATATAACTTGTGCGTTGGTAATCACCTGGCACGCACGTTGGGTGGAGCTATCCCCCGTGCGTCCAGCGCTGCAATAAAGAATGCCTGCCTTTTAACACTACATTGGTGTTACGAGGTTTATTCCCGGATTTCGGTGACACCTGTGCATCCATTGGGTTACTGCAAGATGTGGGAACAAGGGAGGAGAGGTTGAAGGAGACTTAGAAGAGTTTGGCACCCACCTTCCTTTGGCAATCAAGAGGATTTGGACACCAAACATTCCCTTCAGGTTCCTAACCTACTTGTTTTGGCAGTGTGGGAAAATAACAGAAGATTGGAGAGGAGGATTATAAACACACTCAAGTGACCTGCAGCTGGGATGTAGAAAAACACATAGATCATACTAATTGTTGTTTAGCCTCGTGCATTGGGCAAGTAGAACATCTGTGTTTAGATAACATAGGCCTGTGACAGACTTAGAGGCACCCTATCGAACATGCCTGAGATTCCTGCCCTGCTACAGGAACGATCAAAGCACAGTGGCAAGCTATGCCTGCGCAAATCCCTGAAATACAGGCGAAAACAGCAGGTTTGGTGATGCTCTACCATGGACCGAGCATCCCCGCTTGTGTGCCTCTGCCCGGCTGCTGCTTCGGGGATCCCCCGGTTGGCGAGGGAATGAAAACAGGTTTTTCACTTTGCATTTCACCTGTGGTTTTGTGGTTGCTCCTGAGTCCTGCCTGTGCCAGCTCACACAGACAGTGTTTCCCAGCACCGGCAGCTGCACCCCAGGCTAGCTTGGGATACGTGGGCAAACAGGGTCATGCGTTTAGCTGACAGGAGGAGTTAGGAAGGAAATGATGAGCAGCAGCATGAAAGCTGATGAGGGGTCACTAGAGGAGAACGCAAGCTAGATTCACATGAGCAAAGCAGAAACATTTGAAATCCAACATCCTGGCATAGAGAAGCCCCCCATGGACTTTGTCTCAGGCGACACACATGCCTCTGATAGATGCAGCATCAGCCGCAGCTAATACACAGTGCGTTCAGACAGCCATCACAAAGGACTCCCCGAAACACACAAAATAATAGCAAATCCAGCAGGTTCTTAGGAGTTCACAGAGCAGACTAAGGTGGTCAAGTGCCCAAATGCCAGCCACTATGTAGGGAGGGAACCGCATTCTCTCCAGCTGGGATGCAAAACCTGCCACTGTGCCCAAAATAGCATCACAGACAGCAGTCCCTCTCTTCAGCCTTGCTACAATCTTTGTCCACATTTCCATGACAATGACCAGAGCTGAAGAGATTCGAGAACGACACATGGCTGTCTTCCATCCTCACCACGGGGATGCATTCCCCCCCCACCTCCTACCTGCCGCAGTTTAAGATAGGCTCCCGCAGGCCCGCTGAGCTCCCTGAAGAAACCCCTGGGCAGGACCCAGGGCTTTGGCGCTGCGCTGACAGCCTGGTGAAGTGAGACCAGCTCTTCCAGACCCTTAAAAAGCTCTCCAGACTGCAGGCTTCCCTTCTGTCTTTTAAAGACTGTATTTCCCCCCGCCACTACCCCCAGTTTTGCAATGTCTTCAAATGATGCAATGGATTGTTCTCACTGCAGCCCAATTCAAACCAACCAAATACAGTAGAAATCTTCCTCTCCATTTTAAAGAGCTTGAATCAGATGCCATGACTCCTCTTTATGAATTTTTTCTTTCCTGATTCAGCCTCTTCAACACAGCTCTGTCTCAGGTATTTCCCTCCTCCTCCTCTATCTCACCCCTTTGCTTCATTTCTGCTCCTACGATCCCCTTCAGATGATGGCTAGTGGCAGGGCTGCTCCCTCTCCAGCTGCAGACAAGGAGGGTATTTGAAGACCAGGTAATGAAAAGGAACTTGAGAGACCTGGTCCCAAAAATCAGAGATGCATTGGACCTCTCTTTTCCCCTCCTCCAACTAAGCAGCCAAGAAGACAACACAGTGCCTCGTCACCCCCTCCACCCCACTGGTGACCCTGCATGTGACTGATACCGAAGAGCTTCTGCTTCATCATCACACCATGAAGCGCAGCAGCCACCTTGGGTGCTTTCACTTCCCCGTAGAAGGTAAAAAATACAACAGAGCACAAAGATGAACCTTCTGCTCTGCCAAGAAAGCAGATGGGCAGCGGGGGATCCTTCCAGAGGGCTGAAGCACAGGGTCATCACACCTGAGACTGAAGAAAGCAAACTCAGAGCTGCTCTGGGAAGGGGATCACTGGTAACCATGCTTTGAGAACACCGGCAGAGAAATCCTTCATGTTCTTCCCTACATTGCAAGGCTCAAGTCCAAGTCACCCAGGAACTAGAGCTTCTACAAAGTGAGAAGAGCCCTTGAGATTTGCAGAGGGAAATGGATAAGCAATTGATGCATTTGCAAGCAATCAGATTTTGGAAGCTGCGAGTGCACTGCAGATAATTTACCATCCATCAGCCAGGGCACAGTTGCTGATCAGCTGCGCTCCTGGTGTAAAGGCAAAGTGTGTCAGCTTTGACTGCTGGAGGCTTTAAGCCAACTGATGTGATGATGGAGAAGCCAAACCCTTATTTCACACGGGCTAAACACACACACATTCAGTTAGTGGCATCTCAGCTAACAACGTCGTAGGACGTGCTGACCCATTCACTTGACACCATGTGAACATACCGGCAGGGCTGCCACGCACTGATTTCTTTTACATCTGCAGAAAGCACAGACATAAGGCTGATGAAATCAAGGAAATCTGCACTGCTTTGAGGTACCTCTGCCACAACACTGCCTGGGTACATTTGCACCCACGGTGAGTGGGAGGAAGTGTTGCCATGCCAAAAAGGGTGCAGAAACGCTACTCGGAGCCTGCTCTGGGTCTGAAGTGGGGTGTTCTGGAGGAGCAAGGGGAAGAGATAAGCAGTTGTAGTAGAACACGGGCTGTGCCTTGACTCCGAGAGCAGGCTCACCAGCAGCATGAACAGACATAGTTAGTCTACCAGCTCAGACTCGAGCTACTCCAGTATCACCATACCAGCGCTGGCTTCTTGGGAGAGGGCCAGAGCCAAGCTGGGGTGAGGTCCTGCTGATTTACTCAAGCCAGGCTCAGTTAGGAGAAAACTTGATGCAGGCAAGCTGGTGGGGGTCTTGGGTAAGGGAGATCTGGAGAGCATCAGTGCAGGAGCAAGCACTGCAGTACGCAGAGATGAGAGGGATCCTCTGAGACACCTGCTCCTGCTGCCCACAGGAGAGATTTCTAACCAGTCAGTGCCTTTGCCTCCTAGCCAAACGTTCAGGCTGTGCTTGCAACACCTGAAAGTCAATGCCTGAATTCTCTGAATGTTTCCTGGTATCGATTCCTCCTCCTCCCCGGTCCAATTTTGTCCTGCCATTCGCTGCAGATCCTGCTCTGCCGCTGCTCTGTATGCTGGAGGTGACCGAGTGCAACAGGGGTTACCAGGTTGTGAAGAAAGGGATGCAAAATAAGACGCTGTCCTCAAAGATTCAGCAAGAAGTTCCTGATAAGATTTCCCATCGCTGGTTCTCAGGCAATCTGCTACGGGGGCAGACTGATATTTCAGTATGACAAAACCACTCGCTTCTCCAGAATTTCAAGATACTGCAACACCAGTGAGACAGCAAAGCACAAGATCAGAGGGGAAGTGTGGCATCTGCTGCCATTTTAAACACTGGGTGGCCAGGTTTGACTGAACACCGCCTAAGCCGCACATACACAATATCCTAACGGAGCGGAAGTGGGGAAGTCTGTGGCAACTCACCCTCTCCACCTGATACAACCCGTTGTTCCTTCCCCTCTCCCCGCACACCAGCCAGCAGGCCACATACTCTGTATCATGGCATCTTTGTAG